TAATCAAGCCTATTGTTAGGCTATGGCCCTCTTTTGCATGTGACAAAACAGAGCTAATAAAGCCTATTTTTAGGCGATGGTCCTCTATTGCAAGTGACTAAATAGAGCTAATAAAGCCAATTTTAGGCGATGGTCCTCTATTGCAAGTGACTAAATAGAGCTAATCAAGCCTATTGTTAGGCGATGGTCCTCTTTTGCATGTGACTAAATAGAGCTAATCAAGCCTATTTTTAGGTGATGGCCCTCTGTGTAATGTGACTAAACAGAGCTAATCAAGCCTATTGTTAGGCGATGGTCCTCTTTTGCATGTGACTAACCTGTTTGTCAATGTGGAGGCAGTGCTAATAAGGCTGAGTTCACCTGAAACTCAGACTGAAGAAGTCTTTTGGAGGAGAGACAAAACATTTCACAAAAGAAGAACCCATCCAGAGGACCTACTTATTTTTTTTCTTTTTGATGAAAATGCAATTTAATCTGAAATACCTTCAAGCTGCCGCTGAACTCTTCTCAGCTCCTTCAGGATGGAGGTGATTTCCTGCAACACAGAGCAGACAGAAGGTTCCAGATGAGCCTTTGCTAACCCCACGCTGCTTGAAGAAGCTAACGGATCTGAGGAGGAACCTTGTTGGAGGTTTTCAGGAGGGGAACTTCGTTCTCAGCGTTGATCTTTGCCTCAATGTCCTTCCAGACGTCGGCCTTGTTCTGGAACAGAACCCTGAGAGAAATGAGATGGGTCAGTCCACCAGCACATCCTGAAACCCCGACCTCCGGCTGACCCCGGGTCTCCGAACACTAAAAACACGATGCAAGCGTCCTTACTTCATCTTCTCTGCCAGCTGCTCCGTGTTCTCCCGGATGGCCTGGGACAGCTGGGACACCGGGTTCAGCATCAGGTTGTCCAGGATCACCTGGAAGGAGGTTCCACACCGAAGAGGAAGGTGAGCTCAGAGCAGCAGCATCATCATCACTGACTTCCCAGCACAACAAAACTAACGGCAGCAGAGGCTCACAGGTCAAAGCTGACAGAGAGCAGAGGAGTTCTGCCTGCTTTCACGCCACACATCAGACCAGTCTTTTACAAAACTCTCCTAAATTATTCAGTTTCTGCTCATCTCTGACACTGCAGGCCAAGGAAGTAACAACTAACCCCAAAATACTGAGTTTAAATATCATTTATTTTAAATCCTACAACAAAAGCTTTAGATTTAAAGATGCAGGGATGGAAAAAGAAGACGTCCACCTTCTTTCAGTTTGAGGGTTTCAGGGAAAAAAAACAAAACTAATCTGGTTCTGATCAGCTCAATAACTACAGGAGCCGAGAGCTGACTTTTTCAGAAGAATTTTTTTCCTGGTTTTTTTTGATGATGTCGTTATCGCAAAAAAAAACCGACATATTATTTTAGATTACAAGTTAAATATGTTATCACAAGAAAACCAACATATTATGATGTTATCATGAAATAACAAGCGTTTTCTCGAGATAAGTTCATTTTCCGATGGTTTTCTCAAGGTAACCCTCATCGCTATTTTGTGATAACGACATATGTCGGTTTTCGCGTGTTGATGACATTCTTAACTCAGTATCTGGAGAAAACACTCATCATTATTTTGTGATATTGACATGTCGGTTTTCTTGTGATGATGACATACTGTATTTAACTTGCTGTCTTGAAGGGATCCATGATTAGTTGTAACATTAGACTTTATTTGATAAACGTATATTTTAACTGTAAAATAAAGACTGTAAAAATACTGTAGGATGTTTAGTTTTGTAAATTTTTAAAAGTATATTTTAACACGGACGGAGCCATTTTATTTACACACAAAGCATTCTGGGTAAATGATGACGTGGATAGGTCCTCGGTGCGAGGCTGCTAG